ATTTATTCTTCTCGGCTCTCGTCGCTTGATTTCCAGACGGATCTGTCTGCATGAAAAATCTGCTCTCCCGTCCCGCGGGGTTCGGGCAGGTGTTCAGCTGGAGAAAAATACATAAAACGACGAACGTGGTAAAGTTTTACCTTCATATCCAGTTCAAGGTGACATTTCTAGGGCAGGTATTTTAACGAAGAGATCACCGGGGAAATGCCGCCGGCCTTGGCTGGTTTGCTGCCGAGGTGACTGGCGAGAGCTGGGCATCGCCGGCCGGCATGTGTCCCAGCCCCGGCAATCCAGCCCTTGGCCGACAGACAGAACTGCCTCTTCCCTGGCGAGAGTCTGGGGCTTGAGGATCCCACCCCTGCCGCGTCCCCCTCTGTCACGGCACCGGCAGACGTGGTGCCAGCCACGTGAGCGGTGGCATTCGTACGACAGACCCCGCCGTGGAAAGGAGCCGGCAGCACCAGGGCGGCAGCTCGGGGCAGAGCGGGGAAAAAAAAGCATCACCGGTCCCACTGTGCCCCAGTCCCATGATTTGCTCTTCCCGGGATCTATTATTTATTGTTCTTATTGCAGCAATAGCATTTTTTAGGGGCCATTGCACAAATACTGTGTGAAGGGGAAGGCTTTACTCTTTCCAAAGAGGTTGTCTGCTGTCCAGACAGAACTGTGGTTTGTTTTAATCCTATGGGACGTGTAGGTTTGATCCGGCTCTTTCATAAATCCCGGCACGCAGGTGATACAATCTCTCCTCCATGAAACAGCTCACGAGCAAAAAACTGCTTTGCCCAAAGCTATAGGGAGTCATCCGTGAGCTCCTGAAATCCTAATGCTTAATTGTCGCCTCTGTGTGGCTCACGTTCAATAGGCATTGATTACTTGAATGTATTCAGATAAATTCGCACAAATGTTCTGGACGTACAGACCTTTCGTATGACAAGTTCTCAAACCCGACTGTTCCCACGGCTGCAGCATGACCTGCGGCTCCGTGATCTGAACACCCTGCTCCTCGGGCCCCAGAACTGGTAGATCTCGTCTGCTTGCATCATTTCTGTTTGCAGACTGAAAGAGGAAATGAACTTTCCTGGAGTCTTTGTCATCCACCAGTCGGTGACTACATTGACATGGTTGAACCTCCTGAGAGCTGCTTGCTGTGAGGAATTGTAGGTGTATTTCTGAGCAAAGCTTAGCTAAGTCAAGCATGGTTAAGCTTAGTGTGTCCCCTCTCTTCCCACCCTCCAGACAAATCTAACCCCTGTAATGCCCCCGACACTGCCTGCGAGGGCAGTGGGACCAAAGCGTGAGGCAGACAGGCGTTTATTGACAGTGGCCAACAGAAAGCCACGTTAGAGCAGGAAAACCTAAAACTGGGACAAATCAGCTTGGGGACGAGGAACCCCCTAGTTAAATGCTGCAGGAAGGGTCAGTCCTCTTTTCCCCGGCTGCTGCTGGGCCGGACCGGAGCCCCTCTGCCCTGTGTCCATGGCCATCACCTCTCCTCTGCTCTTCCCTCCTCCCCAGGCAATGGATTCTCCCTACGCAAACGGAGCCTACAGCCCCCCGTACCCTCCGGCTCCCGGCGCCGCCCCGCACTACACCAGCCTGCCGCAGACACGGGGGTACTACTGCTCCGGGCCCCCGCGGACCCCCTACCCTGCAGAGTCCACGGGCATGTACCGGCCCCCGTCGCCCGCTCCCCCCTGGAGCTACGCCCCGCCGGACTGCCCCCCCGAAGGGTCCTCTCTCAGGAGGCAGCAGGTTCCTGGCTACTCCCCACCGCCGGC